CCCATTATTCCCCCAGCGACCATCCGATAAGTACATTATACTAAAAGTAACTATGTGTCACGGGAATAACTACAACCGATTAACCGGGTATTTGCAATCTAAGGGGATAACTGTTAATACACACTTCATTTTAGGAGGATCCGCACCTACTTACACACGGATATAATTGTAAGATTCGTTCAGTCTTATTGCCCTCAACCCCTCCGGAGTTCAAGGTTAGGGAGCCTATCTTTAACACAGTGGTGGTACGCGGTCTTCAAATGCATCATAACCAATATAATAGTCATACGTTTTTTATCAGCGATAAGCGCGGAGGACGAAAAATTGCGACGAAAACCCACGAAACACATATAAGCACCTCTTGGCTTCTGTCAAAAGCAAAAAACCCGCCCCAACAACCCCCCCAGAAGTCAGGCAATCAGGCAGCTGAACATGCCTGTTAGAAGAGTAAGTTTCTGCTTCTTTAGATCTGCTTGTTTTTTATTGAGAAGTTTGTGTTTTTTTTTGTGTGTGTGTGTGTGTGTGTGTGTGTGTGTGTGTGTGTGTGTGTGTGTGTGTGTGTGTGTGTGTGTGTGTTAGTACATCCATGTAATCATCATACAGAAAACCAGACACTGTATATGTATTTTCTAACCCATAAAACCTCAACCCCATTTGAACCAATATTAATTTCCATAGTTGAGTTGTAACACCTAAAACAGATCCTTGATATGATATACTTGATTGTCCCCTTAAGGAAATGTGTTCTGGTATCAGTCCTGCAGTTCCACCAGAGGTCGCGTTAACCGAATATTTTCCGTCTATGACGGATTTTTTTTAACAATGACGGAAAAATCTGAAAGCAGTCCGTAATTTTGACGGATTAGAACAAACACAGAACAGCGCCAAAGTTTCCCCGCAGCGAGGCTCCGGTGTTAAGCATGCCTGCCAAAAAGGAAATGATACCGTTTTCGAAACCCAACTTTGCCGTACAAATCATTGAAATGTTTTGGCTTTACGTGTGTTTTTTGGCTTTACGATGTGTGTGAGTGTAAAGGCCGACGGGTAACACTGAATTTTGACGGAAATTTTACGATCCTGTCCGTCAAAATGACGGGCAGTGAAAAAGTCTAGCGCAACCTCTGAGTTCCACATACATGTAAGTATACAAATTAATTAAGCCTGTTCTTCGGAACCCTGAATCTTCTTCCAGAAGGTAGGAGCTAGAATTCTGGGTGGGATCATACACAATTGTGTGTGCCTGTCTAATAATGGACTGATCATATATGTTTTGGAGAGATGGATGTTAAGGACAAAACCCGTGAAAACTGTTCCATTTCCAAAACTGGCGTCAGCTTTAAAAATAATTCCTCACCGATAAAAAAGAAGTGTGTGCTTTCCGAAAGATGTCATTGTGTTCTACAAATGTCACCACTTCACAGTCATAGCATGTGGTCGGTTTCCAACAATGATCTCCCAGTCCAAATATGAATTAATCTATTGCAAATTCTCCCAAAAAAAGAACAGTTCTTTAAAACGGACTTGTTCAAGGTCTTCCTGATGTCCATACTTTTTGCCAATATGCTCACTGTCCAAATATGAATCCACCTTCTAGAAATGTCCTTACCTTTCCAATAGTGTCCCCACCTTCCAAAAACAAGTCTTCACTTACAAAAATATGCCTTCATCTTTAAAAAATAATTGATCTTTGTCAAAACATGTCTTTACTTTACATAAGGGATTCTCATTTTCCAAAATGTCCCCACATTTCAAACTAAATATCATTACTCGCCAAAATGTTTTCACCTTTTAAACTGTCAGCAATGTTAAAACATGTCCTCCAAAATGTCAACACTTTTCTCAAATGTCATCACATCAAAATATTTCCTGTGTCCAAAATGTCACTCTCCACAAATGTTGTCATCTTCCAGGTATACGACTCAATCTAGACCTCACAAAAATAGAAGAACAGTCACACGCACGGCAGAACCAACCAGCCAAAAAAGGCTAGCTATCCCCATGGCAACGTACGGGCCGTGTACCAATCAGAGGTCAACTCGATGAGGTAATGGGTTTCGAAAGCTTTCTGAGCCTGTCTGACTCTCACACACTTGCTCACATACACACACTCTTGCTTTGTTAGGAAAATACTGCACATGCGGATAACCAACACACTGATCAATTAGGCGGGATCTGTGGAACAGCCTGAGAGTTCTTGTGCAATGCAACAACTCCCCGTTACATAACGTGGTTCCATAACTCATGCAGCACAAACACAACAAAGAGAGGCAGAGCACTGCAGCAGCCTGATACTCCTCCTGCAGAGTGATTGATGTTGCATCATGCTCTAATAATGATCCATGAAACATACTAGGGCACTTCTGCACAACACTGATACAGGTCATTAACTACACTATCTCGCTTCGTTCTTCACGTTAAGAAGAAGGTTTTCTCTTTTTTAGTTTGGGATTTGTTGAGAGGATTTGGAGACACAGTCTGTTGAGTCTACAAAGACATGTTGATGCACTAGGTAAAGGTAGCTGGGGACAGGCTTTTATTGGTGTCATTTGGCAAATATTCCATAATAACCTTTTATCATATAGTAAAAACTAGACTTTTGCACCAACCTTTGGCTTTGTATTAAAGGTCCCATGTCATGCTTGTCTGGTTATTACCCGTCCCCTTCTGTGTTATGAAGGTTTTTATGCATGTAAACGGTCTGCAGAGTCACAAACCCTCAAAGTACACCCTGTAGCGAGTAAAACTCTAACACAGAAAATACCTCCCCAAAACGCCTCGTTGGGGATACGTCATTGTCCATTTGATTCTTCCGGGTACGCATGATGTCAACCGTACCCGGAACGAAATGGACCAATCCGTGGAGCCGTTACGTTAAGCCCCCGCTGATTGGTCCAAATTGACCAATCCACGGACTTCCTCACACACACACACTCAGTGCAAGCAGCTCTGCTGATTTCTCCTCACTGGCTGCAGGCTGATAACAGACAGTTGGGATCGCGGCGAAATTCTCTCTGCAGACCCATTCTCACAGCGTTTATCAACCTTTTTCTTACTCANCTATTTTGTCTCTCATATTTGAGGTATACCTAGGATGAAAATTACAGGCCTCTCTCATCTTTTTAAGGGGGAGAACTTGCACAATTGGTGGCTGACTAAATACTTTTTTGCCCCACTGTATATGACTATGTTTGATTATTTTGCATTTAAAAAAGTCTAGTTAAATCATTGAAGATCAAGAAACATTAACCCTAAGGTCATTCTAAATGTCTGCTTTAATATAAATATTTGTATTTATAATATTTGTTATAAATGTTTCACACATACAGACCCAGGGGTCTGCCACATTGTGAGAGAGTGAGGTTATGTATATGTTTTGAGAATGAGTGCTTTTGTATGGGTCCGACACGCTGTGTTGACCCTCGGTCAAAACCGCCATAAATCCTCTAAAATACCTTTCTCTGTGATTAAATGGTCTTCTGTTACTGTGAAGCCACTTAAATGGATTTAAAAGTAAAGCCAACCAATCCTGTTCTGCTGGTGGAAGCAGAAACCTGGAGGGATTATCAACAACAGATTTAATAGATGAAATGGCTGCAACTGAGAGTGTCAAATCACTTGATCCTATCATATCACCTTTTATATCAGATTAATATTTTTGCTTGTACTGTATGTACCCCAAAGAATTCCAAACCCACTTTGATGATTCGAAAAACAGTGAAAATGTAAAACATTTGAAAGTGTATTGAAACTTCACAACATTGTTATGCTTGGTTGAGGTGGCAAATGTAGTTTTTCAATGAATACAAGATGTGATACAGTGCAATGGAAAAATATTTGAGTGAATAAATTATGAGGAACATCAAGCATAAGACTTCATCGTCAACTGAAGCCTGTGCTCCACTGAAGAGATACACAATTGCGTCAGATCAACGGTCTCCTCTCGCTCCATACAGATGTAACCTTCCTCACATTTACATGAAACAGCAGTAATACATTGTTTCGATCCAGTTTACTAGGCTGGGACTTGGACGCTTGAATTTGATTATTTTCCTTGACTAAATGCTTTATTGGGCAACCAACTTTTTCAGTTGACTTTTCAGGGCTTTAAGTGTATTTAATGAAACTAGCAAACTACACAGCATTTTTATATTGAAACCTTTATTGCAAAGTCTTATCAGCCACTTCTAATTTTCACGTTTTACATCAAGGCTTACACCCATGCTTGGAATAAACTGGCAGAAGAAAAACCCTGTAACAACACTAAAGTTAACTTTGTCCTCCTGCTGTTGCTGTCTAAAGCTGGCCATCCTCCTAGACTGGAACATACATCCATCAGCAGGACTGTCTCTGTGTGTCTGCCTCTATCTGTCTCCTTCTGTCTCTGTCCCTAACTAATGCACTCAGTCTCTATCAGAGATACCAACTTCGAACTGTGAACAATACACAGTGCGAGTGTCTTTTGAGGCCTCGTGTTATCTCAGGAGCAAAGCCTGCTGGGCTGTTTGAAGTGTAAATAAACATGGCACTGAGATGCGTCTTTGATAACAACAACTCCTCGGCCTTGTAAGTGTCTTCAGTATTCACTTGTAGAGTGTCTACAACCACCCTGGACATTTGCTGACAGTTTGTCATTTTAAATGGGTTACATGGATTTGTGCTAAAGCAGTTCATTTAATTATGTATGTTCTTATGTATTTAAGTCGCCACACTTTATATCTACAACTTACAGTATCAAGCTGTTTTCCCTTTATTGCAATGTAAATAGATACCCATTATATATCCTACAGGCAGATAATAAACTCATTGAAAAAGCTCTCGGTCACACAGAGAGACTTATACAGCTTTTATGCTTTTTTCATTCATTTTTTCTCGAAGGAAACTTAATTGTTATAGCCTGTGTAGCTGAATACAGTATATGAGGAATAGGAACGTTATCCTCCTCGAATTTAGCCTACATTTTCACCTTGATGCACCTGTTTTACAATCTAGATCATTAGAACATGTATTTCTTCAAGTACCCTATCAAACGTCAACAAAATGAATATCCATCAAGAGGAGTTTCCTGTAGTCTCCTCATCTTTCATAACGCCCAGAAACGTTCATCCTTTCTTCATCCTAATGCAACTAATGTAATTAAGATGCCACTTGATCCCATTTTGTGCTGGGACTCATTCCCAACTGCCTCCCATTTGACAGCTGGCAACGTGTTCTTTCGCTCACAAGCTGCAACATTATTTAGCTATTTTCACATTATTGTTGAGCCTGAATGATCATCCCCTCAGTGTTGTGGTGGTGCAGTGTGATTTTGATAATTTTTTTGTTTTTTAAAGAGTTTGTTTGGCAACACAGCAATAACAGCTTTTGTCCCTAGCTTCTGATTCAGCGAAAGCTTGTGAACTAAGATTTTCTAGTCATTCCTGAATCAGCACAACACTAGCTTCTTGCTTTGTGAAACAGGATAATTAAACAAGCTAACAAATGCACCGACAGCAATGTGAAAACGTACTTGCAGTTTAAAAAACTTGAGACACAATACAACATATATTTATATTCAAGTGGCTGTTTGTTGTTTTCCGATTAGCTTTTCGGGGTTACACCTGTCCGACTCCCAGGACATAGGTGGCTCTCATAAGCCCCCTATTAGCAACTTATTCCAGTCGGCATTCTTCTTCCTTTCCAGTGTCCTCAAGTGTCTGTGACCTTGCAACCCATTTGCACATTCTTGTAATGGAAAAACATTCTTGCAAGATTTACAATATCCTTCTCTTCAGCACTGTTTTGCAAGGACACATATATGCTTAGTCTTGTATGGTATCAACCGGGAAAGTTTGGATTGGTTCAATAAACACAAAAACACCAAATGTTTTTTCAAACTATTGCGGAATGATTCTACAAGACCTTACTGTTGTACTGGCACCTTATGTTTTGCAATCCATTGCTATGGTGGAATTAATCATAGGATTAACACAGCAGTTTTTTTTAACATAACTAAAGCTCACTACATGTTCCAGGCTAATTGTGTCTAAATGTAGGCATTGTATCTCCCAAGATAGTGTGTCCACATTCATACTAGAATATAAATTAGACATATTAATGTATCAATATGTTCCCTAATAGCTCCCTAGTCTCAATTAAAATATAAAATGTGTGTGCTTCCTTTTTCTATCCTCTTTTTTCCTAACCCTCCTCTCTACAACAGCGAGTGCTTCATTATCTTCCCGTCTCTGTCTGTGCCCGTCTGTGTGTGCAGTTGTCTATGCTGTCTATGAATTGTATTAGGCTTCATTTGTATGTGTGTGTACCAACGTGTCTGCTCTCTGCTTGCTCTCCAGCACACTCCTGCAAGCAGCCGCGGAGCCCGGCCAACGCTGACGTTGTGGGTCTAGACCTGCCCTCCTACGGGTACACCCTGGTGTACTCCTGTCAGCCGGGTTACTTCCTCTCCGGGGGTTCAGAGCACAGAGTCTGCCGCTCTGACAGCAGCTGGACTGGCAAGGTGCCTGTGTGCAGAGGTACGCTGTTGGCAGGGGTCTGCGGGGGCAGGTGATGGAGAACGAGGGGTGGAGAACGAGTTCAAATGAGGGGAAAATGTAACATTTCTACAAAAGTGTAGGGTTTTTAGGATTTGGCGCTTAGTATCTCAAAATCCACTTTGTGACATTTGCATTCATGTTCACTGATAGTTGAGACAAATAAGACACTAATCAAATATAAGGAGATGTTTTAGTTTCTGTGATGTTTTTTTCAGTAAAGCTACTGTGTCACTGTGCTGTCAGCTAATTAGAGTTTGCATGTTCAGTTTATTTTTTAACATGAAGCGTCAACAGGGTGGTGATTTATACATGTTTGTGTAAACTGAGCAAAAGTCCCAGAGTTGTTAACAAAATGAGGAAGAGTTTAAAGTAGGTGGCATGTTATGGTTGTGTACTTTTCCAACATCCTCCTGCAGTTCAGCCCAGCTGTGTTCGTTTTTGTGACTTACATACTTACGTTCCTCTGCAGTCGGATCCAAATCACAAGAGAAAACTGTCAAACCCGTAATGGGAATACCAAGCCCAAAAATAAATGGTGAGTTTTGAATTTCACAAGCTGGTAGCTACAGAAATCTGCGGCACTGAAAAAAATGTTTATCACCGTGGCTTCATACAGTATGTGTGTATCTTTATCAGAATTATAAAGGTTGCACTTACTTTTCAGCTTCTAGTTTTTAGTGCTGTTCCTCAAAGTCAGCGTTCATTTCAGTGGAGATCAATAATTAATATAATAGAAAAAGTGCATTAAACAGTGTACAATGTTTGCATCATGACCATAACATGTGATATTACTGCTCGTGTGCGGTTATATTTGTAGCTCTTTCTAAGTGATTCAATCAATTAAATAAAAATGAGTACTATAGTGTAACATATTACCAAGTTGTAAATATGTGCATTACAGAATACCTACAATGTAATACATATTAGAAATGTATTAGGAACCTCATTTGCACACAAATGTAACTTCTTGCAGATTATTGCATTATTCATGTACCGTTAACATTATATTTATTATGTAAATATTCATTTATAGCACCTAATCTGCCCTGAGTGTTATTTAAAATGTAATTGCATAAAGAAAGAATAAGAACATAGGGTTGGTTAAGATAACTTTAATAGAAAGTAAGAAATGACTACAATTGACCAGGTTTATTGTTTAGGAAACCTCCATAAAAAGGAAATCCGACACCGACCTTTAAGCCAGGTTTCAACTTTGCCATTTATGTTTCATTATTTTTTAAACCTGCAATACTAAATGCAATTACGCCAGCATTACCTATACTTTGATATTTGGACAAAGATGGACATAGTAAACATGTCGAGCTAAACATGGGCATGTTAGCATTGTCATTATGAGCATGTCAACATGCTGGCATTTGCTTTGGCATTTAGCTCAAAGCATTGCTGTACTTAAGCATTACATCACAGAGCCGGCGTGGTCCTGGACTCTTTGTCTGTTTCTGTTAAGATAGTCAAAACCCACACACACACAAGTGAGAGATATTACTTTGGTATAAGTCTTATCCTTGAGACCAACAGGTTTAAGTATTCAGCTAAAGGTCAAAGCAAACCATTGAAATGTACGGAGGAAGGTGAAACTGTACTCTGAAAGAATATGCAGGCCGCTTTTAACAATGTATAGATTTACATCTCACTTAATCAGCTTCATACAAAGTAATACACTGTTGGCAAATTCAGTTGTTACAAAAATGTGATACACGACATCTAAGTACACCACTTAACCTTAACTGCTTTTTGTGCCAGCCATAATTATTCAGACTTATTATGAGGTTTGGTTCATGCCGTTAATGACAAGCAGTCGTATAATTGATTCATAGCTTCCTATGGAATATATTACCAGTAGATAATGACAGTGGTGTGAAAGTTCTATTATAAAGTTAATCAATGCAAAACAATTTCCCAAAATCCAGAGTTATCTTCTCCTGAATGCATTTAATTATCATTAATTGAGATTGCCAACGCATATAAGAAAAAATGATATAACACAAACTGAGTGAAAAGACTGTTATCAGCTGTTTGATCCCACTACATATCTAATTACCATTTTGCAGCGTGGGTGCAAGTGTACAGCCTGCATTGAAAACACAATATTAATTTATAAATAAGATAAACAGAGATGTAATGAGTGATTTTCTTACCTTTTTTTATACCATATGTAATGGTATTATATATTACAGTTAATTAATGCCATTATTTAACGATGTTTTTCTTTCCTAAAGTTCCCGATGATGTCTTTGCCCCTGATTTCGTGTGGAAGGGTTCCTATGACTACAAAGGCCAGAAACAGCCGATGACTCTGACAGTCACAAGCTTTAATGCCACAATGGGGAAAGTCAATGTAACTTTGACTGACAGTAGCATGGAGTTTCTGCTCTCTGGTGAGTCATCTATAAATCATCTGTCTTCTACTTCCTCCCCTCTCCTCCTCTCTCTACCTCCGTGTGTCACTTCCATTTATTTTGAGGCTGCCTCATGTCAATCAGTCAATCACCAAATGATCTCATGCATGAGAGTGGAAATTAACTATTGGCTCTAAAGACGGATGTTTTAGTCTGCCGGCTCCTGTCCTCCCTCTTCCCTTGCTGTTCTCTTTTCTCACTGCTCACTTATTATTCTCTCTAATTTATCCACTAAGTTCTATCTGCTACTTTTTTCTCATCCCTGGCACTTGTTTCTTTCCCTCATCTCTTTATTCGCATAATTTCTCATGTTGCCTCCTGTCCTCTACCTCGCAGGAGTGTACAAGCGCCAGGAGGCCCGGCTAATGCTCCTGCTCTACCAGATGAGAGCGCTTGCCCACAGCTCCTTGAGCAGGATTACTGATGAGACCTGGGCAATGGACGGATTTGTGAGTATACACAGGAATTTGAAGCAGCTGGCGAGTGATCTTTCAAAATAACCAAGAGCTGTGACTGTCTTTTTTCTTATATTATTTAATATTTCTTTCTTGTTCAGTCTGACAGACAGAAATAGTACATGCAATGGGGCCGTAACTGCTTGGAAGCCAAACATGAGCTTTTTCTCGCACTGAATCACTCCAATGTTTTATTAATTTGGGCTTCTCATCCTACTTACACTGCCAACACAAAAAAAGAAATCACAATACATGAGAAGAAACTGTGACAACAAGCGGAGGAGTCATTTCCTGGCTTATTGTTTGTTTTTGTTTACATATTTCTGGCTGTACATCAGATGCACCAGTGGCTCTGCTTAAGCCATTTCCATATTCCCGCTTGACTATTTGCTAAATAAACTCAGACGCACACCTGACATCTAAGGGACGTGGAAGAACTGCTGTACAATTTCAGATGGTGGATTTGAAGTTCCTCATCTAAAATAATCTTCAAGGTCCACTTTATCAGAGCGGGTGGCAGCTGCCAAGCTATTGATAGCACACCGCACAGCTTCTAAAGCAGGGTTTAGAAAAAGAAAGAAAGAATGTGTTGAATGTCATACTAACTACAGTATCCTGAATGTTGTTTTAGATGTGGCGTGAATAGATGCAACAATATCTAAGTGCCAACAACATTGGATTTTATTAATGCAGTTGAAACAAAACAGGCAGGTTTCTCAAGCTTTTGTTGTTTATTTTTTATCTTCTAGGTTTCAGCTGAGCCTGAGGGTGGCAGCTATGTGTTCCAAGGCTTCATACAGGGTAAAGACTACGGACAGTTTGGACTACAGAGACTGGGTAGGTGTCATTTTAAATACACGGTTGCCATTACCATTCGAATATGGAAGAAGAGTAAAGAAAAATATTCTTGCATTTGTTGTGAATTATTTATGTTATAGCAGTTCTGACACTTGAAGGCTATTTGCAAATTCATCTGCTGAATAGGAAAATGTATACATACTCATGTTAAATCTGAGTGTGACCCACACGTACAAGCATGATTTGTGACACAACAAGAATTTGAGGTCGCGTTCACACCTGCCTTGTATAGTCCGGTTGAATCGAACCCTGGTGCGTTTAGCCGCTTGGTGTGGTTCGTTTGGGTCGGTGTAAATGCAGTCCGAGACCTCTGAAGTGAACTAAACAACCGGACTCTGGTCCGCCTAAAAGAGGTGGTCTCGGACCGCTTGCTAGTGAACTCTGGAGCGGTTAATCGCTGGTGTGAACGCAGTCCGCACCAAAACATAGGAAGCGTAGTATATACGTGTCACAATAATGCGGATGTCTTCAAAATTTGCGAAAGAGTGAAGCAGAATGAAGTGTTGAACAGTGTCGTGTAAATGAAAAACAACTATCAAACTAAACACTATACATAAAAGTCAGAGCCACCTGTCGTCGGTGAAACCCCCTCCTAACTGCAGAACGTCTCTCATTATATGTGTTATAATATTTTTTATCGCACGTTGTCTGATTATATATGCGCCATCTGCTAAAGTCCATTGATATGCTCTCCAGATTAACAACAGCATGAAAATAACGTGCCGATGCTCCATGGCGGGAATTGCCGGGATTTGCGTTTTTACCCCCGTAATGTCTGACCAATTGTTGAACAGAATTTCCGTGCACATGACTTGTGTTTAAATATTATAGTCCGTTAGTATTTTGCCTGTGGTGTGAACACAAACTGAACCTTCTGAAAAATGAAACAATGTAACAAACTGTCGTCTGCTGCCACCAGAAAAGCGGACTATTAGGTGTGAATCATAGACTGGTGTGAATGCGACCTAAAACATGGAGCCTACAAAAATGTGAGACAAACACTGTGAAACACAGACATCAAGAAGCAGACATCTTGTGATAAACATGTCAAGTTTCTAGAGGGGGTGTTGCAAACTTGCTCTTGGTTTGAATGCTTAAATCTCAACACTTGTTACCTAAACATGTATTATTGACTTCAGAGTTTATCTTCAGCATAAACGTTTTGCTTTTCATAATAAGCAAAGCTAGATTGCAGTTATAGAGAGGGTCACTGCCGAGTCATGCCATTCAAATGATGGCACCATTTGTCTGCAGTATTTCATAGACCCCTCCCCCTCACAGCAATATGACATATGCTGCCACACATTGTGTGAAAGCTTGGTTCTGTGTGACTATAGTCTGCACATATACTGTGAGTGAGCAATAAAAAGTCAAAGCCCTTGCCTTGTGTCACAGAGGAACATAAATACAACGTTCCCATGTGGTGATCTGTGCTCTTTAATGATCAACACAGTAAGCTTACATTGTAAACCAGCAGCATGCCTTTTAGAAAGCCAATCTGCACATGTAGACTATTCAGGTTATTATGAAGTTATAAAAAGCGTTAAAAATGCAATCACCTCATTAAAAAACGGTCTGATTGTCACTGATGTTCCCACTGAGATGGGGTTTTCTTTGCTCCTTTTCTTTGGCATTATACAAGAACAAATATACAACAGAAAACTGAAACCCAAAAGAGGTTTAAGAAAATATGAGTTATATGGCTCACTCCAAGATTTTTAACCCCTCCTTTGCAAAAAAAGCTACTTCATTTTTGCTCTGGATTGACAGGATACATACTGTACTTTAGATTTATAGTGTGTCAGCCACTGACATATGGCGCAAAGTGGATTATTCCCTTCCACATCATCGTCCTTCATTATTTTGTGTTCAACATTCATGTTGTCATCATCTCTTCAACAAGATTATCACAGCCGCAGTGATCGTTATCGGTAAGTTCATTATGCCTGGCGTCTTTATCAACCGGCTGCCGCGTCTCCGACTTGTCATCACTGTGATCATCTTCCTCTTCATCATCATTATCACCATCACCATCATCATTATCGTCACCAGCAGAAGATACGTAACTTTCTATTTTTCCATTGAGTTTCTCCAGTTTGTTGCATTTAATCATCTGAATATTTTGATGTTCTTCATTAACATATTCTCTATTTTTCGTATTATTTTGTTAAATGTACTTTGTTTCTTCCAGGTTTGAGCGTGAGAGAGAATGTCACACTCGCTGACCCTGAAACCAGCGGCTCCACCAACAGCAGTTCTGTTGCTGTCGCTATCCTCGTGCCTTTCTTTGCCCTCATCTTCGCAGGCCTCGGATTCTATCTCTACAAACAGCGGTATGTACCCCAGTGTCTTCCATACTAGCTTATCCCATTAAATAGCTACTTTGTTCTGGGTCTGTGCTATTCCCACATCAGAAAGAAAGTTATAAATGTTCATGAGTGTGTGCCTCCTGTTGAGTTCAAAAGTTATTAAACAAATATTTGATGTTGGAAAGTTTTCAGAAACCAAGATTTAAGTAGACATTTTTCCGGTTTGCAGCCAGAGGAAATGTAAGTCAAGATGAGGTAGATACTGCAAAAAGGGTTCTCACTGGATACAGTAGCTTACTTGTGAGAGGCTTCAAAGCATGATGCAATTTTAGTCAACATGTTACCGCCTTGCACAGCAGCATACGTCAGGCAAGAGAACCACTTCTTCATTATGATAATGTACTGTGTGGAGACGGGTACATTTGGTCCTTATTTAAACATATCTCTTAAAACAGTACATCGACGCAGAGCCTGTAACGGGGCACTGGGTCTCCTCTGACTGATCTTTTCAATAATAATTACCATTCAGCCTACTGCAGCTGTCCAAACCAAGATAATGGAGACATGTTTATTGGATTGGAAGGAGGTGAGATAATTAGGATACTGTCTCTGAACTAATATGCAACCTCCTTTGTTATTCCCTCAGGAAAACAGATAAAGCGCAGTACACAGGATGTTCTGTCCACGAGAACAACAATGGACAGGCAACTTTTGAGAATCCCATGTACAACACTAACACAAAAGCCGCTGAGGGGAAAGTTGTCCGATTTGACCCAAATCTCAACACCATCTGCACCATGGTTTGATGTCTACAGAGTATGAGAGACGGACAGAAGGGGAGAGAGACACATAGAGGGAGAATACAACTTCTCCTTGTTTGCTTAACATTAATATATCGACATATTTATATTTTCCCTGTTTCTGATGGCATACAACAAAGACAGAGATTTGCTTCAGAAATATAAAGCACACTATCAGCAATGCTTGCAGCATTTGCAATCGATCATATACAAAAGGTAAAGAACTAAAGAAGAGAGGAAGAAGAGAGGAAGAAGAGAGGAAGAAGAGGTCCCACACCTCCCGGATCTTCCCGTAGCGCGGAGGAGAGAAGTGTTCTTTACACTCTGTGAGTGTTGGCTTTATGAAAAAAAGAGCCTCTGGCATATAGATAAAATAGAGTATTTTATGCTCTGTAGTATAAATATAGGGGGGTTACTTCACAATGCCAAATGAAAAATAAAATTCTTTCCTTACAAGAAAACAGCCCAAATCTCAACCCTTTTTGTTTTCTTATCCTCGTCTCATTTATCCCAACTAGAGTTATTTCTTTCTTATGGAGGTAAGTAGCCTCTCACCTGTGAGTTGAACAATGTTGTCTTTAAATTATTTTTTCCAGGCAGTGAAGTGTGTGTGAGAGGAGATGAGGATGAAGAGAAGAAACTGCCTCTCTTTGAATAGCATGTGCCAATACACGATTAAGAGGTATAATGGACCATATAACTTTGAACAGACCTCTGTCTGTTCAAAGTTGTATGGTCCATTATACCTCTTAATTGGACGGCACCTCCTACTGACAACATTTGTGGCCAGGGATTTAATTACCGAAGTGCAGTATAATTTTTTGGAGTGTGTTAGGGAATGCTAGGGCTTTTGTTGTTACAGTGCAGGGTCTCTGACAACAATAGAGTGCGTTTTGCCCAAGAAAGATGTAGTAAACATTAGGGTTTATTATCACATTGTGTGCAATGAATTAGTTTTTGCCAGAAATGTTTGAGTATGAGATTACTGCACCTTTCAGTATAACGGCCCGTCCACACAGCGGCGTTTGAAGTTTCTGCCCATTCACTTTGAATGGGGTGACGTCACTTTTCGCCGAACTGCATTGTGGGAAGCAGAGCGGAACTTTCCTGGCGTTTCAGGCTGCAAAAGTTGAGCAATGTTCAACTTTTGACGCCTCGGCAGAAGCGTCAGCCAATCAAATCCCGTTTATGCAAATCTGCCAGTACAAGCGCTAGCCAATCAAACCACGTGTATGCTGGGAGTGACATACCGCAGTTCATTTCCATATTCCAAAGAAAATGGAGGAGAAATTAGTTATTGCGGTAGCAAATCACCCGGTTCTTTACGACCAGTTCCTATTTACTTACCGGGATACAAACCGGAGGAACCAGGCATGGAGGGAGGTGGCAGAGACAGTGGGTGAAACTGGTAGGTTTTCGCCTGTTTGGGGAGTTTATATCCAGTTTACTTCGTTTTTTTTGCTTTGTATGTCGGGGGCGGGAGATTTATGTGATTGGTTGTTGGTTGCGTTGCTCGCATAAACACCCCCAAGCTTCAGACACGCCCACCTCCAAGCTTTTTCCAAAGCCGCTGTGTGAACAGGCCATAATGGTCACGTAGGGTACATCCATCTATTTAAGTTATGAAACTATTATTTAAAAAAATCATTTTCCAGTGTTATAATGTCCCAAATGAACCAAATTTGATGTGAATAAACCCCAGCCTTGAACCTGTATACATCATGAATCTCAAAGTAGGAGTTCCTTGATTATTCTTTCAGGTTTTATAGAATAAAAAGTCGAGAACATACAGTGCACAGTTCCTAAAGCTTGCCACGTTTCCCAGAAGTTTATTTAAGCCGGGATGTCGTTGAAAATAATACAAGTGCAAATATGTGTCAGTGAGCACTCGGAGGCTGGGAGTGTGTCTTGTTTTATGATGATAAAAGATTTGACATGCGGTTGCCTTTCCTTAAAGTATTTCCAAGACATAACAAGTGCAACTTCCACATGATCTCGGATTTCTCATTAACAGAGCAGTGTTTGCGTTTCTATAATTCTTTTGGGAAACTGTGCCTTAGTCAGTTAATCCTCGATCCATACTCCTACTCTGAGATGATTGATGAATACACGGCCAGGGCCTATTGTATCGACACAAATGGTTATGTCCATGTCTTACTGACCCATCAGCTTCTGCCAACAAATGTACAGTATACATACAACAGTTTGCACACTTTACCAGGAGCCACCATCAGCATTGTACTACCATTCAACTACCACGTATGTTTTAAAAATAAAAAAATGAATTTGACACTGTCATCACATTCCTACATCATTGCAGTGCCTTGAATACTGTATGGGCATATGTTTTTAAGGGATACATAGCATTTGCATTAGTAAAACTGTACATCAGTGTAATTAATCTGCACAGTTTGCAATGATTTAGCTGAGTGATGTCAGCTCTGAGGGTTTATCGAAGAATAGGTTCCTCTGAAAAGCAGAACATAGTTTCATACCTGTGCATGTTGGCAAAAAGTGATCCAGTATAGCAATTGCTGCTACATGTATAGTACTTTGTATCACTATGTTGATTCCTGTCATTGCTGTCACATTTTGTACATTTATACAGTTTTGATACTTTATGGCATTCTTTCGAAAAGATGTCTTGTGTTATCGATATGTAATATATTTTGCGAGTTCATATTTCTTATGGATGAGAAAGAAATGCACCTGGTAAACACAGTACACTAAGTCAGTCCCACATCCGACTCTGGAGTAGAGTAGAATGCTTTTAAATGTATCACACAATTGTTATCCCATTCAAAAACCTGTGTATATGAATATGTACATATTACAAGTTTTGTAAAGAGATATATTTTTTATGCAAATAAAGCATTTGTAAGTTATTGAATATGTTGTGTAAAATTTCACTTGTAAATGTCATGTAAGATCAAAAAAATGTTTTGTATTTTTTCGTTATAAGCAATGTATAAATCCTTAATTTATATATAAAATGTAAAATAATGAAATGCTATGTTGCTATTCTCTTTATTAATAGAGATGTCGTAGCTTGGTCAGGTCTCGGATACAATACTCAAAAAGAAAAAATGTTGCCATGTTCTAAGCAGAGGGCTCTTATCATTCGGTCTGCTGCTTCTCTAAGTTGCGACTTTTGCAGATTTTTTAATGAGTTTTACACTTGCTGACTTGCCTGGTTAGGACAAAATAAGCACTGATATTATCTTTGTCAAAGGGACACTGTAGATCTTTAAAAGGCTGCCTGTTGCTATGCATTGTGATCAATAATCCTTGTTAACATGAACACCTTATGTGAGCAGAAATTCAGTCTCAACCTCTCAAAAAAAACGTTTTAACATAAGTGAAATGGTGGTATAATTCTACTTCCTATCAGCAGTCGAACTGCAGCATTGGCTACTCTGAGTCTGGTTTGTCTCATTTTACCTGCCTCTCTCTGTCACCGTCAGCGGTTACAAATAGTAATATGAATTCAGCATTTCTTTTACAAACTTTCAAAATGGGCAATTTTGAGGATTGAGCATTCATGGACTGTAGAGGTACAGCTAGTGCTTCAAAGTACAAGTCTATTATTATTTTCATTTATGAAATGAGCATCGAAGAGCTTGAGGCTAACATGAATTTGCTTTTTGCAGAAATCTACCATGGATGAGATGGATCCAGAGCCGACCCGACCCATTAAGCGACATAAGCAGCCGCTTAGGGCCCAGCAGCCACTAAGGGCCCCCTAGCAAAAAAAAATTGAAAGTATTTGCAGCAGTAAATGTGGCTCTTTGGCCACTGACGTTGCCATAACAACACCTGAATCTAAATGTGCAACCTCTTTTTGTGACAGATTTTTGCATGAAATTATAATTCTTCTGAATGATATTCCTATTGACACCTAGTTTTTATGTGAACATTATGAGATGGACAGCCAGAGAGAATAAATGAAAAACAGTTATGAAATACTATATGACAAAACAAGAATACAGTTTGAAAGGATTGATTTGTAAAATACCCATAAAGAAAAATCTGTTCACAGTTCTGTTTCATATGGGTGTTGAGAGATGTATCCATAAATCTCTTAATTTTGCTCTCAAAGTGCACCAGATTGATCCTTTCAACTTCAATATTTAAAAAAAAATCTTCCCGGGGGAGCATGCCTCCGGACCCCCCTAGAGGAGGTGAAGACCCCCCCTAGAGGATGGTAGGTCCACGGTGTTAACATGCTTATTTATACAATATGTGTGCTTATGCTAAAATCATAAGACAAAAGTTCGTCCTGTAAGTCTTACACTCGTCGATTGGCGTGACGGATTAAGTTTCGAGGACTCGGGTCCTTCTGCCTGATTCCTGTTTACAAAAGTATTTTCTTAGTTTGTGTAAGTACGTTGCTTCTGAGTGTGTTTTGATGATGTTCTTGTTGCAGGGTCCGAGGATCTAGTGTCCGTCATATTCGGGCCCCGATCTCATATGACTTTACCTCGGAACCCTGACGGGTCGGTAGTGTCGGGGTCTGTCATATACCCGCTTTTGGCCATACCTATAAGTGTGGTGACTTGCAACGAGGTTATTATGCTCATCTTTGGTCACACGACTCTCTGAAGGTAAGATTTCTTATACCGGGGTGTCATAAGATGTGGTTACGGGCTGGATTACTCTAGTGCGGCCGGCCGCGTCGGGGACATGTTCAGAGACTTGTGGACGAGGTTCACCCTTTACCTATGCCAACGTCGTTCCCGAATATTAGCATGTGCTCGTTTGTCAGTATTTTTGATTGCTATGTTCTGGGAATTCCTGATCATGTCAGCCTTCGGTCTTTTAGTGTTCTGACAGTTGACGGATTGGGGTTTTGAGCTGTGGTTGTCCTTCCTATTCTTGTCTCTCTTGAGATAGAGAGGAACCATGGAAGAGTCGTCGTTGTGTTAAGTTTTTTGGTGTTATTTTGTGTTGTTTTGTTTATTTTTTTTTTTTTTTGTATTTCCTATTGGGTTCTTGGAGGGTATATTGTGAATATTTGGTGGATATATATCTAACTATTTTGTTGTATTTATCAATAGTTTACAAGTTCATATGTAATTCAGAGTTCGAGTTTCGTCTGCAATAAGGAGGTGCTTTACTTCCTTCTCGCATTCATTCTTACTCTTTGTCGAGCTCACGTCGATCTTAAACGTGTTATTCGCGTGGTGGCGCACGTACTGGTGACTTTTCTTAAAGAACTGGCATAGGAGTCTGCTCGAGGAGGAAGTGCGTAGGACGAGCGCGCAGAGCGGAGTTTCGTGCTCTAGCGTCGACGGATAGGGAAGGAACAAAGGTGCTAAGCTCTGGCGGATCGTGCTTCGTGGACTACTCCTCGTCCGTCATGCTACATCTCGATTGACTCCGAGACACGTGTCTACCTTCGCGGTCCGTCGCTTACAAGCTCGGGAGTTCTATCCTGTGTGCCTTAATGTGAGTCCGGCGACGCTGTCTGGTAGTCATAGACTCAATGACCAGGACGGGACCGTGAGGCGATCGCGTCTCGCGGTGCGCGAACGCGTGATGCTATACTCTATACGACGATGTACGATCTGTAGAGATGACTCACGTGAGTGTCATACGCGCGCTCAAATATTACTGGTCTCTCGCAACGACTTGGGTTGGACGGAAATATGGGATTCCACACAACCGAAGTACAATGTGGTAACTGTAAACTCGCGTAAAGGAGCAGCGACAGCAGGGAGCCCCTTGTCGTCGGCTTAAACATACAGGGCAGCACGAAAATGCGTGAATCTACCTGTCAGTTTTTCTTCAATAGCAGTGTTACTGGTGGAAACAACAGGACCCGATGTGGGAGTCTTCCGTTCGGACAATGATTTCGTGCCGAGAGAGTGAGACAACACCTCCGTTACGAAACCGAATGTGCTCAGTCGGGCCTAGACGTCCGTGGTAAGCCCAACGCACGAGTAAGGCTGAGAGCACCGAGACCGATGTAGTGACCCGAACAAAAGTTCCACAAAGGTAGTTTCTGTAAACCGACGTCGTCGCTCGACCAGGAGCGGCGAGTGAAAACTAGGCGAAAATGTC